AGCAATAGCGAAATTCAGACCTGAAAAAAATCAGGCCTGTACGGGACTCGAACCACTGACCTCTGCGATACTAGTGCAGCGCTCTAACCAATTGAGCTAACAAGCCAACTGAGAGCAGGCCGTTAAGTTGATTCGTAATGAACCCGTGAAAGTGATAAATGAGATAGAATAAATATATGAAAATCATATATTTTGAACTGCGGTATTTGATACGTATGATGGACGATCCTCGCAGTAGATAGCGCTATTTGAGCAATAGCGAAATTCAGACCTGAAAAAAATCAGGCCTGTACGGGACTCGAACCACTGACCTCTGCGATACTAGTGCAGCGCTCTAACCAATTGAGCTAACAAGCCAACTGAGAGCAGGCCGTTAAGTTGATTCGTAATGAACCCGTGAAAGTGATAAATGAGATAGAATAAATATATGAAAATCATATATTTTGAACTGCGGTATTTGATACGTATGATGCACGATCCTCGCAGTAGATAGCGCTATTTAAGCAATAGCGAAATTCAGACCTGAAAAAAATCAGGCCTGTACGGGACTCGAACCACTGACCTCTGCGATACTAGTGCAGCGCTCTAACCAATTGAGCTAACAAGCCAACTGAGAGCAGGCCGTTAAGTTGATTCGTAATGAACCCGTGAAAGTGATAAATGAGATAGAATAAATATATGAAAATCATATATTTTGAACTGCGGTATTTGATACGTATGATGCACGATCCTCGCAGTAGATAGCGCTATTTAAGCAATAGCGAAATTCAGACCTGAAAAAAATCAGGCCTGTACGGGACTCGAACCACTGACCTCTGCGATACTAGTGCAGCGCTCTAACCAATTGAGCTAACAAGCCAACTGAGAGCAGGCCGTTAAGTTGATTCGTAATGAACCCGTGAAAGTGATAAATGAGATAGAATAAATATATGAAAATCATATATTTTGAACTGCGGTATTTGATACGTATGATGCACGATCCTCGCAGTAGATAGCGCTATTTAAGCAATAGCGAAATTCAGACCTGAAAAAAATCAGGCCTGTACGGGACTCGAACCACTGACCTCTGCGATACTAGTGCAGCGCTCTAACCAATTGAGCTAACAAGCCAACTGAGAGCAGGCCGTTAAGTTGATTCGTAATGAACCCGTGAAAGTGATAAATGAGATAGAATAAATATATGAAAATCATATATTTTGAACTGCGGTATTTGATACGTATGATGCACGATCCTCGCAGTAGATAGCGCTATTTAAGCAATAGCGAAATTCAGACCTGAAAAAAATCAGGCCTGTACGGGACTCGAACCACTGACCTCTGCGATACTAGTGCAGCGCTCTAACCAATTGAGCTAACAAGCCAACTGAGAGCAGGCCGTTAAGTTGATTCGTAATGAACCCGTGAAAGTGATAAATGAGATAGAATAAATATATGAAAATCATATATTTTGAACTGCGGTATTTGATACGTATGATGCACGATCCTCGCAGTAGATAGCGCTATTTAAGCAATAGCGAAATTCAGACCTGAAAAAAATCAGGCCTGTACGGGACTCGAACCACTGACCTCTGCGATACTAGTGCAGCGCTCTAACCAATTGAGCTAACAAGCCAACTGAGAGCAGGCCGTTAAGTTGATTCGTAATGAACCCGTGAAAGTGATAAATGAGATAGAATAAATATATGAAAATCATATATTTTGAACTGCGGTATTTGATACGTATGATGCACGATCCTCGCAGTAGATAGCGCTATTTAAGCAATAGCGAAATTCAGACCTGAAAAAAATCAGGCCTGTACGGGACTCGAACCACTGACCTCTGCGATACTAGTGCAGCGCTCTAACCAATTGAGCTAACAAGCCAACTGAGAGCAGGCCGTTGAGTTGATTCGTAATGAACCCGTGAAAGTGATAAATGAGATAGAATAAATATATGAAAATCATATATTTTGAACTGCGGTATTTGATACGTATGATGCACGATCCTCGCAGTAGATTTTCATAAAATCGTAATTGCCGCTGAAGTTTGCACCATGCATTTCTAGCTATCATAAAAAGGCGCGCTGCACTAGTATCGCAGAGGTCAGTGGTTCGAGTCCCGTACAGGCCTGATTTTTTTCAGGTCTGAATTTCGCTATTGCTTAAATAGCGCTATCTACTGCGAGGATCGTGCATCATACGTATCAAATACCGCAGTTCAAAATATATGATTTTCATATATTTATTCTATCTCAGAGTTTAAATAGATCCGCAAAAAAAATTCGTGACAAAACTAAAATCGTAATTGCCGCTGAAGTTTGCACCATGCATTTCTAGCTATCATAAAAAGGCGCGCTGTTATAGCTAGTCAGAGCGCGTGTAATTTCAAGACGTTGCCATCTTTGTGTGGTGAAGTTTTTGTTTTCTTCATATTTCGGAAGCTCTATTTAAATGCGAAGACAGCTGACGAATCTGTGAGTCAGTTCGCATATTTCTCGGGAAGCACTCCACCATATCCTACTATTCTCCTATGATAAAATCATTTACCAGACATGTACGCACGACTCTGAAACGTGGTTACAACCACGTTTACATGCATCTAAATTCACCTGCCGACCATTGGTAAGATCATGAAAGGCTTAGCTAAATGGATAGTTCAGTTCCCTTTTCAACCGTCTTCTTTTCTACTGTAGTATATCTATATTAAATTCACTATAGACTTTTACTTTCTATCTTATTTTCTAATGATTTAGAAAAAATATAATAAACTGCGATGGGTAAATGACAATTTTCCATGTGAAGAGTTGGAGTAAGTCATTACATAACTTAGCATAAGCATGATTTATAAAAATTTAAAAGCGACTTTGTAAGTTGACCGCGTGATAATCGAAAAATGTGGCAGATGGTCGAGAAATCGAAAACTTTCATCTTTTATCCAGAGACACCTTATAATGAACATACAAACTTGGTAATTGTTTTTCTCCTATACATGCTTCTTTATGCCAGAAAATTCACAAAAACTGGAGAGCGCGTCGGTAGATGTAAAATGACGAAAAATAAGTGTCCCGAGCAGAGGCAACTACACTTTGCTCGTGAAATCGCAAAAGAAAGAAAGCTCGCATCAGTTTTATAAATTTGTGTAGAAAGCATTTAGGTATAGTTTAAGTCTATGCGGGACCATTTCATTTAATTTGATGCACACAGAACGCTTTTGAAAATCACCAAAATTTCAAAAACGCCCATCGAAGCGCATATTTCCTTTTTGACGCCTAACGAGCTCCTGTTGAATCGTAGAACGGTGGATCGACAGTTAGTATTAGCACAGGCGTCCAAAACTTGTGAAAAGCGAGAGACTAATTCTCGGACACGATAGTGTTGATCAGAGATCAAATAAACATCCAAAGTGTCACGTTTTGTGTGACACTGTTAGATTACTCAAGAAACGTGAGACGCCCGTGGTATTTGAATTTGGCTAAGGGGATGGGGAGTAAACTCTGGAGAAAGAATGAATTATCCAAATCTCCCCAGTCATAAAAAATAGGTGTGCAATGCGTACGTGTGTCTAGTGCTGGGTTTTAGCGGTACCTCCGTGGGTCTTGTTTTGTGTAGGTTTGTTTGCAAGTTCAATTCAACAATTTGAACAAGAACTGATTAAAATAAATTTAGCTGTAAGGTTAGGTGGATAAAATCCGGAGTACAGAGACTGAAACATAGACATCAGGGATGAACAAGTTTATTGTATAAAAAAGTCTGCATCACAAAAAGGTCCGTAACTGTATGTATTTGATACAATAAGTAAGAACAAAACATGATTCAAGTTAGGAATTGTGATTTTTTTCTTTTACATCAGAAAATTCA